TTTTTTAATTCATTTGCTCAAAGAATATGATAAGATTTTAGGACCTATTTAAAAAGCAAAAAAAAGGTAACAATTTAACAGAACTGCTATTGGCTGGAGGAATGGAGAAGTGTTATAATCACCAGTGAGAGAGTGCCTTCATTTTATCTTCAATATTAGTGTTTAAATTACATTTTAATGCTTAAGTTGCATTAAGTTATATTTTTATCTAACATAGTAGATCAGGCGTGTCAAATTCATGGCCTGCGGATGTGTCATGTGCTGGCCCCGGCCCTGCCCAGTTTAGTGAAGGGGGGGAAAGTCCTGATATGTCACGTGATGCTGCTGTAATGACATGAGTTTGACACCCCTGCAGTAGATGGAATGATTTTTTTTCTGTAAGTAATCATTAAAAGGCTGTTTATGGTACTCTAAATTTTGGAATTTAGAAAAAATCCCACTTAAAGTAGAATATTGATTATACTCACAAAATCAAAGTCAAAATATTTATTTGAAAATAGCTTCTTATAAGAGTAATGGATTATATATATTTTCCTCTTTAAGTATTACAGATTGTGTATATCGAGTAGTTGAAATGACTGGGTTGGATGGAAAAAAAGTTTTGAAATTGCTTCCAGCTTCTAAACCTTTAAATAACTTGAAGCCTCTGGTTCAGTCTCCAGTTGTGTCTCATGCTGTTAAAGGAAACGTTTCACTATCTGTTCATGATTATGTGAAGCCTTCATTTGCAAGTACTGTTACATCTGCTGCTGCTAAAATCTCTAAATTAAAGACCATTGCACCCAGTCATTTAATTTTATCGAAGCCTTTAAATCAATTAGAACAAGTTAATGCAACTTTTGTTGTAAAAAAAAATCCAATTACATCAACAGTTTTTGGCATTCAGAGTAGTTATTCAGCTGATAGATCATCCTTGCAGAAATCTGTTGCACCAGTTTGTTTGTACACAAGCACAGCAGTTGTGAAAATAGAAAATATTCCACTTTCCATGAAACTGCCAATGTTACCTTCTGGCCAACATCTTCAAATACCTGCTCATGCTAAAGTTAAAACTCTTCCAGTTTCTGTTTTGTCACCAGTAATTCAGGACAAAATCCTGGCTATAACTATAGCCTCAAATACTTCAAGGACAGGTGAAAATATCAATGCACCAACCATCTTTGCATCACCAGTAAATACAGTAAAAATGCCTGCTTCAGAATCATTGGAAACAAAATCAGTGGAAGAAGAATCTAGTTCTTTATTACTGGCAACACCACAGAAGGTTGTCAATAGTTCTGCTATGCAAGTATCAACCTCGGGTAGTGTGGAAAATAAGATGAGACCTATCAAATGGGTTGTTCAAGAAAATCCAGAGTCATCAACATCCTACCTTGTCCCTGTAAAATCATCTAACAAAGTGGCATCTAAGCTCTTAAAAACATTGACTGATATGAAAAATACTAAAAACAATTCTACCAGTATTTTGCCTATTTGTTCTAGCAGCCTCCATGAAAGTGATGCAAAAATGCCTTCTATAAAAGACAATGCTCTAGTAATGTGCAACGGAAAGGTGTATTTACTGACTAAAAAGGAAGCTAATATTTTATCAACACTCAAGCCTAGCAAGCAAGAAAGCACAAATGTCCAAAAACAAACTTCAGAATTAATTAGCTCAATTACAGATAATACCATAACTAATCAGGTTATCAATCTTGT